AAATTGTTAGATATCCTCAGAGAGATAAGAGTAGAAATTGCATTCAGGAAGAAGATCCTTTCTAAGAAAGAAAGGTCACAATCAGAGCCCTTAGGAATTAACAAGGTGTTAGCAAAAATGAAACACTTGGTGCATTTGTTGGCAGGTAAAATTGAGGTTGTCTTTTAGAAAGTAGAGAGAAAATAAAAAAGATATGGAAAGTAAGAGAAAATGCAAGTCTATTAGAGCATCAGTTCTAGAGGCCCAATATCCAAATAATAGGTGTTCCAGATAGAAAGCAGAGACAGACAGTAAGGGAGAAAATCATCAAAGAAATAACTCAAGACAATTTTCTGTAATTTTCCTGAAGTACTTATCAGGACAGAAAGGGCCCACTGAGTGCTTCTCATCATGAATGAAAATAAACCCACATCAAGGCATATGAAAGTGAATTTTCAGAACACTGTGGACAAAGTGAGGCTCTTGTAAGCTATCATACAGAAAAAAAGAGTAAGAATCTCAGTGGCCTAAGATTCCTCAAAAGCAGTGTTGGAAACTAGAAGAAAATAGAGCAATACCTTTAACATTTTGAGGGAAAATGCTTTTCCAACTTGGAACTCTATACCCACCTAAACTATTAAGTCTGGCTGTGGAATAAAGTTATTTGCATAAATGTGCATCTGAAGATGGGCGGGAGAGGAGGTTGAGTATGTTTGTGAGAGTTATACCTTTATCTTCTATTAGGGAAAGTCAATAGACCATGCTTCAAACTGAAGAAAAAAAAGGAAGAAGTAACATAAGCATGTTATAGAGAGACAGGCAGTACATGCTTGGAGAGAAGGCTGGGGGAGTTGAACACAGTTCAACTTAGGGGAGTAGGAGATGTTGGGAGCTGGGTGTGGAACAAGGATACTCCCCCCAGGAAGGCGACTTCCTATGAGGTTTGTAGAAGCAGTTCACCCTTCAATCTTTGTGCATGAATAGGAGAAACTGAATGTTTTGGGGGGAGCAGTTGAAGCAGAAGAGGAATAAGAGGAAGAGAAGCATGAGGAAGAAGAAAAAGAAGAAGAAAAAAAAAGGAAAGAACATTGAGGCTAGTGGTTGGAAGACGGACTCAGTTCAGGCTTTTTTTTGAAACTCAGCTTCCTGACTGATAAGGTGGGAGAACTATATCTTCGTTGGTGGGCTTTTGTGAGAATTAAATATTCTGGTATAAAGTAAGTCTTTAATACATGTTTATTTCAATGACTTCTATTGTTTTGAATATATGAGAGACTTAAAAATGTAGAAATTCTGAGTGATGGAAAAATTCATCCATCTACACATCATTGTCCATCAAATACGAGTGTCCATATGGTCCTGAATAACAATGCCAAGGCAGCCAGCCTTGGACCACAGGCCATTTTTACTCCTGTTTGTTTACATTTTCAGTTCCCCAGTGTATGGGGAACAGCCTCTGAGAAGGAGAGGCTTTCTCAAAGGTGCGCTTTCCTTTGGAAGCATCCCTGACAGGTTGTGTCCCATATGTCTCCTTGCCCGAGACACCTAGTATGGAAGATGTAGAAGCAAAAGCATGGTCTAGGAAGGGACCACGCAGGGTAGTCTGACTGTCTGAATGAGGACCAGCAGGCCATTTGATATGACCGGCTCTCCATCTTCCTCTGCAGCCAGAAACCTCCAAAGACACCAGGGTATACCTGCCAGCATTCTAGCCTGGTCTGCCTTGGGTCTTCTGAGCATTTTCTTGCCCACTGACCGGATGCTTCATCCACTTGGTATCTGGAAACAGCACGGTCTTGAGAGTTTCTTCATATATCTTCATTTTTATAACACAGTTCTTTCTCCTAGTTCATTTTTAATTAATCTAAGACAAATGTCCCTCTTTCTACCAGAAAATAGCAATGACAGGAATCAATAGTGCTGGCTGATGCATGGTCAGCCCTGCTCCAGGAAGCCTGAGCCTGAGACAGCCATTCTCTTCCTGTAAGCTTTCTGGGAGTCACATCCTACTCCAAATGCCTGAACCACTAATTGGCCAATGATCGTCATTGCTTTCTTGGTGTCTCCTTGGAGCTATTTGGGGAAATAGTCATCCGGACAAGGTTTAGACAGAGGGTTCAGCATCCATGCCTGATCATCCTGAGTCTAAAGTCATCTCACTGTAGGAAAAATATCCCACATATGTACTGAACCCACATTAGATATTTTGTTGTGGCAGCTTTTCTTTCACAAAATGCATGAATGATATAGACCAGGGGTCAATAGCAAATCCATGTGGGGTTTTATAGGGTGTGTGTGTGTGTGTGTTGCTTGTACATTTTTTATATTCACTTGCTAGAACTGCTGCGTGCTGGAGCTCTGGGACACAGATCATTTGAAATCAATAGATAAACCCTAAACTTTATTTCAGCTGGTAGCTTCTATCTTCTCACTCAGCTGAGTCTTCCATCACTGAAGCTTCCAAGGACTAAATCAGCCAGATGGTTCTGGGCATTACAAGTTGCTGCAGGATGAGTGGAGGAGGCTTCAATAATCCATAATTTTGTCCCCAAAAGCTGAGCCAGCTTTAAACGCTGCCAACTTGCACTGATAAGGAAGGCTGCAGTGGGATGACTCCCTTTTGGGGTATGTGAGGTTGGATGGCTGACTTCTCTAACTCTGAGTTACATCAGTAAGGCCTGGCCTAGAGTGTCTGCCATGGACAAGAGCCAGATCTGACACAGTGGGAAGGAAATGTAGATAGAACTTAAAGACATTAGAAGAAGGAAAGAGAGATGATACTCTAGATTCGTGAAGGAGGAGGCAAGAGTTTCCAGGAGGGAGGGAGTGTGGTATTTAATCAGAATGAGGACTGTGGAATCTGGTGAGGAGGAAGGTAATGGAAAGCTTAGAGAGAACAGTTTCAGTGGAATGTCTGAAGCCAGACTGTATGGCATTTGTGAGGCAGTGGAAGCTGTCGTGTGCAACCCAGGATGATGCCAAATCCTATTGCTAGTAGTGATTGCCTCGAGTTCTTTGTGGAGCAGGATCGTGAGGTTGTTTCTGGGTGAATCTAGGAGGAGTGCTATGATTGATTTCTAATATCTGTTGTGGGCATAGGAGCGGTCAGTGTTGGCCTGCATGACACATAGGTACCATCCTTAGCAGAGGTTAGATGTTGTAGGAGTTGTATCTCACCACTATTCCCTGAACATGGCCTGCCCTTCTTTTGTCTTCCTGCTTTTATTCAGGGTGGATGTTCATGATCTCTCACAACAAGCCCATGACTAATCCTAGCAGACACTGGCTGGAAACGACCAGTTGCCCATACTCATGCATACCACCAAGTATCAGCTCTGTTGTTATTCGTGTTGTTTACTCAACCTGCAGAATGCTTTCCTTGTGTTGATCTCATGAACCCCACTCATTCTTCAAGCCCTCTTCAAATGTCATCTCCTCCATGTAGTATTTCCAATAAACTTTGATCCTTTTTCTATGTTCCCAAGGTACTTGTTATATATCTGAATTATAGCACTTACAACACTTTAGTATTTCAGTTGTTTATGTGCCTATATCTTCCTTCAGCCTAGAAGCTACTTGTGGGCAGAAGTGGTACCTGATTAAATTCTGAGTCATCAAAGGCAAGCAGAGTGCCCAGTACATAATTGGCACTCAGTAAATCACTCCCTTGCCTAGAATTAGAGTGTAGGCTTTCATTAAATGTTTGATGACGTCATTTATTTGTGGTTGGTTTTCATTTTCTTTTTAATAAGGAAAATGTGAATATGTTTGAAGGCAGAACAAGAATGCCTGGTACTTGACAGAACTTCAGTGAATCAGGATTGGGCCCAAGGCTGTCCCATCCAGATGAACAGAATGACCCAGGAAAGAGGCATCTGCTCTAACCTTCCTTCTAAAACCACATCACCATTCTCCCTGCCCTGACCCTGTTGAATATGGCTCTCCATTTGCTGAGATGTGTTGATTATTGATGGATCTGATGTCATCATTCATTGACTCAACACATACTTACTGAGTACCTACTGTGCACAAGCCCTAGAGGCACATGCCCTGACCCTCAGGGGCTCATTGGAAAAATAAAACTATGTCGAGGCAAGGCTTCATGACAGAAAAGGAAACCTTTTCATTGTTTGCCTTTCCTATGCTTGACCTATGTGAAAGCAGGACAGGAGAGTGAAGAACCCAGTACAAATAATTTTCTTTAAAGATAATGCCAAAGTAGTAAAACAAGCAAAATGAATGTATGCTGCTAAAATTCAGCAACCCAGCTACCCTGGGCTGTAGCGGTGGGAAGGGGGAGCAGGATATCTGGAGCGCTGGTGATGATCTTGCTCTGGGCGATGGTTATCTGGAGGTGCTCAGCTTGTGACAATTCATCAGGAGGCACTCCTCTGTGAGGTGCACTTCTGTATGGGCATCAGACATCAACCAAAAGAGGGCAAAAGATGATGCCTGGAAATTAAGTTGGAAGTGTTGCAGAAAGTAGTGAGGTTTTCTCAAAATAGTTTCGACTCAAAATCAGGAAATCCTTTCTACCGAAATCACTCACAGATGAACTCAGCTTTTCAGGGGACTGGAGATTGGGGTTTATTGGCTGCTGTACCCATGGTGCCCTGCACAGGGCCTGGGCTGAGTAGGCCAAAACTGTGTCTTTGTGAAATGATGGGATGGGTGAATGCCTGCAGCTGCTAGCTTCTCTGCAAGGCTTCAAGAAGTCTGACTGGAAATTGCAGTGAGATGGGCACCCTGATGGATTTGCTTCAGGATGATGAGAGCAGCAGCTCTTCTTTTTTTTCTTTTTCAACGGTTTTTTTTTTTTTTTTAATTTTTGGGACAGAGAGAGACAGAGCATGAACGGGGGAGGGGAAGAGAGAGAGGGAGGCACAGAAACGGAAACAGGCTCCAGGCTCTGAGCCATCAGCCCAGAGCCTGACGCGGGGCTCGAACTCACGGACCGCGAGATTGTGACCTGGTTGAAGTCGGATGCTTAACCGACTGCGCCACCCAGGCGCCCCAGAGCAGCAGCTCTTCTTAAGAAACTACAGTGTGTCAGGTCATTTACGTGTGTCCTCCCCAGGCTTCCTACCAGTCCCCCTTAACCTGGAGGAAACAGAGGCTTGAAGGAGAAATGATTTATCCAAAGCCACGCAGCTCCAGAGTCTCCTGCTTTCTCATATAGCACATTACATCTGATACCTTCAAAGTCTAGTCCCAATCCTGGCCTTCTACAGTTCTAGAGTCTGCCTGCTTCCTTAGAGGTGGTGTTGAGAAGAGAAACCTGATTTCTTCTGCACAAAGGTGGAAGTGAGGCTGTCAGTGGGTGGGGGCCAGGACCTCCTTTTCATGAGGTGTTTTCCTGGCCCATGCATTGCAAACGTTTTGATGGGGACTGGAGTCTAGACCAACAGGGTGCTCGTGGGTTAGACCCGACACCCAAGACTGAGTGACTCTGCTTCTGTCTTAAATGTGCCTCTTGGGCTGAAATATCTGCTTCCTTCAGAGAGAGGGACTGAAGCTGGGGAGAAATTCAGCTTGTGAATTTCTCTGAGACTATGCTGCGCCCCTTATGACTGGCAACTTATTACAAATGTCACAACTTATTTGCAGCTGGAAGGATAATTTAGCAAGCTCTGTGTCTGCCAAATAAGGATGTTTGCGTTTCATACCAAGCATCCTGTTCATGTGCTAACAGAAGCGTTCAGAAGAGTAAGCCTCGATCAAACAAACAAATGATTAACCTTAAAAACAGACACATAAACAGAACCACAATGGATGAATTATGCAGCAGGCTGTCCCTGCTGCTGACACCAGCTCACATCTGGTTTCTCTGCTCAGGCTGTTCCTATAAATGACTTTCCTTTCTTTGCTCCCTTCCTGGCTCCCTCTACCTGTTTTCCTTTACACAGAAGCCAGCAGAGCATGTCACAGGCCTCCCCGTCTGTGCTCCCAAGCAGTCCTTTTCCGGAGGGGCTCAGGGACCAAGGCTTCTCAAAGGCCACACATGCTCCCACCTGCCCATTCAGCCAGTGGGATGGCCCGGGAACACTCCAGGCAGACACAGGGGCCTTTTACCCCACCTTGTGGAGCCAAGTCAGTCCACAGAAGAAAGGAGAGTCAGGTACTGTTGGTTTAAGCTTGTTTGCAAGGGACCCCAGGAGCACATAAATCATGTAAGCCTCACCTTGCCTTAGAGAGACATCTTATTTATACGGTCTGAGTCTGGCTTTATAAGGTGCTAAGCTGAGCTCAGGGGAGGGTACTTTATCCTCAGACAGGCTCTCCACTCAGAACAGTGGGTGTGTTTTTGCAGAACTTCCTGCTTTGGGCTCAAAAGGCATTTGGAAAGACTCCTCTTGGCTCTTTGCAGCTGAGAGCCTCCTGGTTTGCGGCTCCCACAGAGGATCTGGCAAGGATCTGCAGCATATGGGGGAAAGTGAGGCAGCGGGCAAGGGAGCAAGATCTTGGGAGCGAGATCTGGGGCCTTCTTGGTGTGCATTTGCTCCTACCTTCCCCGGACTAGAGAGTCTGTAAGTTGAGAAAAGGACAGGCATCTTAGCAACTCGGGAGTCCGGGATCCAGAAACACAAAGCAAAACCTCATCTGTTCTGCCCTGTGGAATTTGGAAATTATGATGGCTAATACTGACAATAGGGGCCAAGGTTTGTCCCAGGGCTTCCAGCTCTCAAAGCATTTTCCCCTGTGTTCTCTCACACACTCAGGCAAGGTATAAACAGGCCTTACCAAATACAGGAATAAGAAATAAGTAGCTTCACTTTGGGCTGTCTCTGTGGAAGATGCATTATATAATATAGGCAGATTGTGTCTTGGAATAGTTTGTTCATGAAAGAGTAACATACAAAAAAAGTACCGTGCTTCGGAAACTCAATGAATCATCTCTGAAGCCTTAATAAAGAGAGAGTGAATAATAGAATAATATTAGCTTTTCCCACTTTATCAAGTGGGTATTTTCACCATTTAAAATGAGGCTGGTCAGATTCAAGATTCTATGAGATTTAAACATCTGTTTCTCTTGCTTACTTTTTCATTCTCATCGATGTCTTGGTTGAATAGTTACAGGGCCGGAAAAATAATAACATTGAATTTTTTTTTTAATGTAGACCATTAGAGTGCCGCGCACACCAGAGTCCTAGCCCAGTACGTGCTGAATAATTGACTGAAGGAATGAATTCTGACTTTTACCTTCTGCATATGAGATTGCTGTCAAGTCTTGGAGAAACGGTGCACCCTGGGCCCAATTGGATGGTCATTTTTTTTTTTTGGTCCCTGCTTATAGGTCCCTCTCATGGCATTACCCATGCCCAGCCTTCCTGTCTGAGCTCAGCTTCCTTAGAGCTGCTTTTCTGTCCAGTTTCCAAGCTGAGGTCGGTGTTGCACAGAGGCCTCTGCTCCAGTCAGCTAACAAATCTGTCCTTTGTACATCCCTGCTGTGTGCCTGGCTTCCAGTTAGACACAGCTCTGCGGGAAGAGCAGAGAGATAGGAGGTGCCAGGCACTTTGTTTGGCACTTTTCCTTCTCCATCTCTATGGGAGATGCAAGGGAAGGAGATCCTGGCCCTTCCCTGATGCTATGCACTGTCCAGAAAGAGGAGTGGAGAGAGGAAGAGGTGGGGAATGAATGTTTGCTGATCCCCGCTCTGTACTGGGCTTTGGAAAAGTTTCTTGATGCTGGCATTTGGGCTGAATCATTCTTTGTCATGGGGGCTGCTCTGATCGTTGTTGGATGATTACTAGTTTTACTAGCATCCCTGGCTTCTGGCTTTTACCCACTGGTGCTGGTAGTATGCCTCCCTCCGTCCCCACCACATGTGACAACCAAAGTTGTGTCCAGACATTGCCACTGGTTTAGGTACCAGGCCTGTATTAGCTCATATAAGCCTCAACAGTCCACAAGGCAGGTGTTACTAGCATCATTCTATACGTGAGGAAATGAAGCCTTGGAGAGGTTAAGACACGTACCTAAAGCCATACAAAGGGGATTTGAAACCCACGTCTGCCCACCAGTGTCAGAGATCCTGGGAGGCCAGCCTCTTGCAAGTTCTTTGTAGTGGGTACCTCTGTCCAGATTTCTACTTTTCTAGGACCCTGAACTGTGACTTTTCTTCCTGTAGACCCGCGGCATCCTCATCCTGGCTTTGAGATCCTACTTGCAGTTGCCAATTAAGTCTTTTTGTAGAAGAGAATAAGACGAGAACAAATGTGGTGAATATGTCAAGTTTTGACAATGCTCAGCCTTTCTTTTGGCTTTTGTGTCCTTTCTCCTGATCCCTTTTCTGTCTCTGTCTCTCTAGGTCAGAGTCTTAATCTCTCTGATAACTTGGAGTGGTGGAGTCCTTTCGGTTTGGGGGCTGTTGAGAGCTAACTGCTGCCATCACTGGAAGGGTTCCATCTGTCTGAAGCTGCCACCAGGACTTTACCAGTACCTGGTGTTGGAGTACCCTCTTCCCATATACATTCCCCACTCCCTGTAAACCCTCCCTCCCAACAATTTCATGTGCTGTGTGAGTACTAAATTGGGGCAGTAGAGGTCTGTGTCTCTCTGGGTATCACAATGGGGACTCTGGGTCAGATCAGACATTGGGTCACAAGGCTATAAGGCGTGGCTGTGGGAACCATGCAGAACAAGGATGGACACAGGATAGGCCATGTGTTGGGCTGTGCTTCTTGGAGGTCAGGGCTGGAATGGTGCAGAAACCCAGGTGGATAAGGGCTGGCAGAGGGAACATAGGCAGCAGAGGGCAGAGTAAGAAGACCACAATCCAGGGAAGACAGCCTCCAGGAGGGAGGTGAGTGATGTAGCCATCACCACAGAAGAGATATGCTGATGAGGCTGCATCTGTTCCAGGATGGGGTCCTGAGCCCAGAGGTGAAGGAGATAGGATACAGCCTGCAGCCAGGAGCGAGAGAGCAGTGGGGGAGGCCAGACTGATGAGGAAAGGCTTTATTTCTAATTAACTTGCAAAGCCGGACAGTGACATAAATGAAGATTTGGTCCTGTTGAAAGCTCATGGACTTGACACCCTGCCAGCTCATGGAGATGCTGACTGCATTGGGTGACTTTGTGGGCCAGAGGAAGGAATGTAGTATTGGGACAGGGACCTGGGGCTAAACTTAGGGGAACACGATCACACAGTCATAAAGGTGGGCACCTTCGCACCTGCCTTGCAGAGCGAACATGAGGGCAAGAGGTACCATGTAAGTTGCTGGCATAGAACAGGAGCACTAGAAACGGTAACTGTCAGCACTATCCTTTGACTCCGCCAGGATCACAATTTACTCTCTGCTTCTGTGAAGTATTATTTATGATGGTGTCAAAACTTGAAAGATATGGGAAATTGTTAAGAGGAATATTAACAGCCTACCAGAGAAAACATTTTGGCATATTTCCATTTAATCTTCCTTGACGACAACTATAATCATTGCTATTGACAAGTTCTTATACTATAATGCAATCTCTTTTAACCCATCTCTACTTAACCAACTCAAAAATTCACCAATGTCCTCCATTGTCTTCCTTCTGTAATACTCACTGACTGAGGGCCACGACCTGCTGGACATTCACAGCACACAGGGACCCATACTATTCCTATGAACATTGCCCCCACCATTTTGGTAAATGCTTACTAAGGGTCAAAGAGCTCCATTTTCACCCAGTCCTTCTTATGCTGGCTGAATGTGTTATTATAAGAACATAATTCAATTAGAGATTAAGTGAACCAGTGAAATATGGGTGAAAAGAGAGTCATTTGTTAAGGAAACCAAGCTGCAAGCATTGAATGGTTTGATAAGAGTCAGTCGATGTAGGCTGTTAGCTTAGTTGTGGGCAGGGCAACTGATAAAAGTTAGAAAAAATTTGTACATAATTCTATAAGAATTTTGCACTCAGATTGTTTTGTATGTGAGGTTAAGTTCCTTCTCCATTCTAAAGCCAAATCTGGGAACCACAGATGATATATAAAAGGTATGAGCTCTCAAAAAAAGGAACACATAGATTTCGAACTCCAACCTGGAGACCTGTCTCAAGTAGAGGCCTTAGCTCTACATCAATAGACTAGCCAGAAATGTTTCAAGTTGAAATAGTGTCTCAAGTTTGTATAGTATATATGTACAATATTAGTGATCCCTATTTCATTCAGATTTTTTGGATTAACAGATTGGCTCATCCTGATAATACCAGATAAGAGAGTCATAACTTGAAATATTGTGTTTTGATGTGCCAAACCTTCTGAAAAACTCTAAATATATAACTGTCTCATTTAATTCATACAAGAACCCTTAGGGGGTATTCTTTAATCCAGCAAAAATTTATTAAGCTGCTGTTTTGTGCTGAACACTGTCCCAGGTGCTGGAGGTATAGGTGCAGAAAGGCCAGGTGTCTGCTCTCATGGAGCTTGTGTGTATGTGTTGGAGAAGGAGACGCAGAACATGAATAATAAACAAGATAATTTTAAGTAATAAGTACTATAAAGGAAACAAAACACAAAGTTATGATAAGAGTGGCTGGCGAGGGAACAGTTAGGGGTGATCAAGGAGGACCTCTCTGTGGCAGGCAACAAATAAGCTGGGACTTGAATGACATGAAGAGTGTGGTCCTGGGGTCTCAGCATTCTTGACTGAGGAAGCAGGAAGTGCAAAGACCCTGAGGTGAGAATGAGCCCTCAAGAAGGAAGCCCAGTGCTTCTGGAACATGGTGAGTGAGAGGAAGGGTGGGATGAACAGTAGCAGTGAAGTCCCTACAGACCAGAGTGAATAATTTGAATATTATACCAAGTGATAAGGGAAACTATTGTTGGGTTTTAAGTGTGGGAGTGATGTGATCTGATTTATGTTTTTAAAAGTTCACTGTGGCTACTGTGGCTGATGGATTGCTGGGTGCAAGGGGACTGGTATGGGACTGGTTAAACTAGCTAGGAGGCCATTACAGAGATCCAGGACAGAAATAGAGTGTAGACCATCACAGTGAGAACAACAGAGTCAGAGAGGTAGACAGAGTCAGGATAATATGGGATCTGCACAAGAAAGCTCAGTGTCTTCTCCAGGCCACTCCACAGGGCCCTCCCTCCCCCCAGGTACAGTCTTTCCTTCTTCCCACCCTCGTTACAATAACCTTTCATCTACTCCTCTGCAGTGTCTATCAGAACCCACAAAGAGATAGTAGGCTGCCTGTTCTTTAGAAAAGTGTAATTGATAAAGAGGAAAGCTCTTCCTACGTAAGAACGGTCTCCTATTTTGTTTTCCTGGCAGGCCCATTATTGAAGTTGATAATGTACTGCTGGGTAAATTTGGGCTGGTGGCTAAACCCAGGAACTGCTGATTGGGCTCCTGTGAATCAGGCAAGAGTTGACTCTTCCTGTAATTGGATCCAGTTTGCAGTATTGTGCCATCTGGAGTGTTGCTGATGGATGGGGAGATCCCAGACTTCTTAGTGATGGATGAATCACAGGGGAGGGGCCTCCCATTTTCCAAGTGAAAGATGACTTTCTAGTAATAAGACAATGTCAGTAGGTAATCACAATTCTATTTCTGTTTTCTACCAACTCTTTTAAATAGGTGGAAAATGTTTGCAAAGACCCTTTCTCCCTATTCATTCATTCATTCATTCATTCATTCAGCAAACTTATAATGAGCTCACAGCTCTAATTCCTTGCTTTGTGTCCTTAGATAAGTTTTGTCCTTAGACTTGACTTTCCTGAGCCTCAGCTGTGAAACAAGGATGCTGATAACACATACCTCTTAAGATTATGAAAATGTAATGGAAGAATGGATGTGATGCACTTTGCAAAGTGTCTGGCACATATTCAAGTTGGGGATCTTAGAGAAGGTGAAGGAGGGCTGGCTTGGGAGAAGCACATGCCCGTTTCTTGGTTAAAGCCTTTACTGATGACACTCTTTCTGTCCTGGAATATTTGTATCAGAAGTTTCCAGTATTAAGGGACCTCTAGGAGCCTCTACTACATCTTATATAACCATGATTGCCCTAACTCAGGGATTCACAAGGACTTTAAGGCCCCTTCCTGGTATGTCTTCACATTTTTCTACTTATCCTTTGTTTTACACCTTTGGAACACTAGTCTTTTGTACCTAGTACCTTTGTACCTAGCTTGGTCTCTGAGGTTTTCCACTTTGAGGGAAGCTGTTGTGCCTGAATTTCTTTCTTTCTTTTTTTTAAATATAAATTATTGTCAAGTTGGTTTCCATATAACACCCAGTGCTCATCCCAACAGGTGCCCTCCTCCATGCCCATCACTCACTTTCCCCTCTCCCCTACCCCCCATCAAACCTCAGTTTGTTCTCAGTCCCTAAGAGTCTCTTATGGTTTGCCTTTCTCCCTCTTGGTAACTTTTTTTCCCCCTTCCCCTCCCCCATGGTCTTCTGTTAAGTTTCTCAATATCTACCTATGAGTGAAAGAAAACATACGGTATCTGTCTTTCTCTGACTGACTTATTTCACTTAGCATAATACCCTCCAGTTCCATCCACATTGCTGCAAATGGCCAGATTTCATTCTTTCTCATTGCCAAGTAGTATTCCATTGTATATATTAACCACATCTTCTTTATCCATTCGCCTATCATGACTACACTTCATTCTCAGCTTCTGCTTATGTGCCTTTGCTCGTAATGAGTAAATGAATATGGCTGCTTAGGACTAGAGCTCATATGGTTTCCTCTGGAAGGCCTAGAGCCCTGTTTTTGCAGGTTCCTTCATTCCTTGAGTTGATGACTCTTGATGTGTGGCCAGTCCCACGAGACATACCCTCTCCAAAGGTTAAATTCATTTGAGGGAAGTTTGTATAGCAAATCCCCTGTTGGAGATTCACATTCATCAGTAGCATAGTCCAGTCTCCGAGAAGTACATCAGTAAGGAAACATATTTAATTTTACTTAACCCTCCATTCCTATTCACACTTTGGAAAACACTGCTCTTCATTTTATTTTGTTGGGTGACCTTAGGAATCAAAGTTGGAAATCTAAGCTTCCAAATCCCAACTCCAAGTGCTCAGCTCAGAACTTCAAGTTGCTAACAAAATTGCTGACCTGATTTCTTATACCTTTCTATTCATGTCTCTTGGGCTGGATCAGATTTTTTATTTAAGATGTAATTTCAGGGTTTATTGACACACTCCTCATCCTCCTTCCCTTGGCAAAACCAAGGGGCTCTGGAAGATTCATGTTGGACTTCTCTGTTCATATACTCAAACCACAGAGTGTAAGATTGGCTTATAACTCCACATTACTGCATTTTCCTTTGGTGGAATTAGGCATCTGATTTGTGACATTCCCAGATGATCAGGGTTAGGGTTGTAAAATTAAAATACTTTCCCTCCCCTGAGCACATTAGTCTCACATCAGCTTTGAATAGTGGCACCATAGACTGGATTCATCTCTCTGACTTGGCCACAGTGGAAATGCCCCAAGATACGGAGTGTGGATACTGACAGAACGGAAGAAGAACTGCTGTTAAATTTTACCCTGATCCCCTACAGAGTTAAAAACAAGAAAGACTGAAGCTATATAGAAACTGGGAATGTGTGTGTGGTAGATGCCAGAGGGAAGAAAGGAAACTGGCAAATTGTATGAGGCATGACTCTGCATCTGTCTCAGCCTAAAGGTGCCTCGTCTCATGTGGCCGAGTTGGGTCTGGTTGGTGGTTGGTGCTGTCGGGAAGATGGTGAGTTTTAGCTGAACTTTGTAGGGAACAAAGATGATTCCAGTTATCTTGGATGTGGTGACCCTGGGCATGCATGGTCCCTTGGAGTCAGTCATCCTTCTCAGACAAGGTAGCTAGTGACAAATACAGACTGCGGGAAACAGATTGTTAAGGCCACATGGGATCCTACACTGGAGGTGCTTAAGAAGGGACTGAGTTCCTAGGCTCAAGCGTCTGGCTTATGCTTCCTCTTAATATGGTAAGTTCTACTGGGAACTTGACTTTCATCTTCCTGCATTTAGATTCTACTCCTGGTACTTTATTCTTTTGTTTCCTCTTATTCCTGATGATGGTGATGATGATGGAGATGATAATGGTGGTATTTGATAGTAGTATTATGATACTGTGATTTACAATAAGAAATACATATTTGGTTTTAACAGTCCCCCACCCTCGTGGTACAGAGCTCCTAAAACTCTTGGAGTTTCCTAAGTGATGTGAAATATAAAGGTCTTTTATTATGTTAATAAAATGACTTTTGGAAAGCCCCTAGGTCAACTAGGGATAGGGAGTTGTCATCAGAGAAGCCAACCAAGTGATAACAGAGTTGGAACTTTCAGCCCCACCCACCCCAGACCTCCATGGAGGAGAGACGGCCTGGAGATTGAGTTCAGTCACCAGTTGCCAATGATTTAATCCATAATGCCTATGTAATGAAGCTTCCAAAATAACCCAATAGGATAAGGTCCAGAGAGCTTCTGGGTTGGGTAACATGTGAAGGTTTGGGGAGAGTGACATTCTCAGAGAGCATGGATCCTCTGAGCCCCCTCCCCATGCCTCCCCCTAAGCATCTGTTCTTAGCTGTTCCTGCGTTTATAATAGATTGGTAATCTAGTAAGGAAATGTGTCTCTGAGTTCTGTGACCTGCTCTAGCAAATTAATTGAACACAGGGAGGAGTTTGTTGGAACCTCTAATCTATTTATAGCTGGTCCATTAGAAGCACAGGTGACGACATGGACTTATGGTTGGTGTCTGAAGTTGGGGGCAGTCATGTAGGATGGAGCCCTTAACTTACATGATCTGATGCTATCTCCAAGTAGGTAGTGTCAGAATTCTGTTGAGTTGTAGGACACCCAGCTGGTATCAGAGAATTGGTTGGTAGTGTGGAAAAAAACACATTCATTGTAAACATTTGTCAAGCATTTCCTGTATGCCAGGTACTCTGCCAGGTTCTCACAGCAGCCCTTGAAGATATTTATATTAACCCCATTTTATTGATGAGAAAATAGAGGCACAGGGAGGGTAAGTGACTTGACACCTGCGATCTGAACCTAGGCAGTCTTCTACTAGAGCTGGGCTCTGAACCCTTAGGATATGGCTTCTGGTCTGCTGCCACATGCTGGATGGGAGCAGGTTGGAGAAGGAAAGCAAGAAATTCCTACTTACCTTTCGGTTACAACTGGGAGACCCAGGGGTGGGTGTTCCTCATGTGCTGTCTTTGAAATAAACCTTGAGGTATAGACGTCATCATTTCCATTTTGTAAACAACAGCCATTTACTGAACACCACTGTGTGCTAGAAACTGACCTAGAAACCTTCAACATTATCCCTGATTCTTCTAACAATTTTTCAAGAGGGCTAATATTATCTGCTTTTACAGATGAGAGACTTGAGGCTTCCAGAGATTAAGCTTTTTGCCGAGTATATGCAGTAGTGTTGAGCTATGTACACAACCATGAGTTTTTATTTTTTTTTTTATTTTTTTTTTTCAACGTTTATTTATTTTTGGGACAGAGAGAGACAGAGCATGAACGGGGGAGGGGCAGAGAGAGAGGAAGACACAGAATCGGAAACAGGCTCCAGGCTCTGAGCCATCAGCCCAGAGCCTGATGCGGGGCTCGAACTCACGGACCGCGAGATCGTGACCTGGCTGAAGTCGGCCGCTTAACCGACTGCGCCACCCAGGCGCCCCATCCATGAGTTTTTAATGAATGAGGAGTTACTGTTTCTTGAGTGGTTTCTGGACTTAGGCTGTGAAGAGAAACCAAATAAAAGATCCATCCAGATGAGGAAAAGCCACCCTGTTGAGGCCCAAGAGGCTTGAAAGTCAGGGGAACGAGGTATCACCTCGTCACCTCGGGAGATTTAGAAAGCAGATTCGTTACTGCTGTGTGCTTTTGTCTGTTGCTGGCTTGAGGCAGTTCTTCCCTCTGTTCTCAGGTCTCTTGGCTTTTGTGGTGCAGTTGTTGGTTCTAAAGGGGCAACTACGCCTGTGAGACTGTGAGGTGAATCAACAAGTGACCCAGAAGGTGGCATCCGGTGTCCACTCCTTTCTGTGTGCCCTACAGCCAGACACTAAGCTGGCAGGACATCCGTGCAGATACGTTGGATTAAATGCTTGGTCCTGACACCCAGATGATGCCTGGCGTTACTAGAGCACCGGGATACAATTTGGAGTGATTGTCTCTTGCTATGAAGGACTATTCCGCCCCCCTCCATTAACTCATTAATTCTGGTTGAGCCAATAAAACTCATCATACAATATTCATTTTAGATTTTAAAAATCAAATTTTGAGTCAATGCTAAATGGATCATAGGTATTCTTTCCTTCTGTGAGAAATGAGCGTTTCATTACCGATTCCATCTATTTGAATTGCCTGTAACGGGCGGGATTTGTTCCTTGGACTCAGCGTGGCTGTGGATGCCCAGAGAGTCTGTCTTGCTTGTGGAGGGGAGGGGGGGCCTCGGAAGGTCCCTTCTTCATTTGCTTGTGTGGCTGTAGTGTAGAGGCTCCAGCTGACATGCTGGGGCCATCCACTCTGCTGCCCCGGCACTCTGCTGTCAGCCTTCCCAGGGCACAGATTCCGGGGTGAGAGGGGGAAGTGAAATTGTGTTGAATGATTAAATGAATATGCATCAGAAGATACCCAGCAAGTGCTTTGAATCATAGAGATTATCAGCGGACACTGCACATAGCCATATGAAAACCAAATCCATCGGGAGGTTTTAGATCTGCTTTGGGAAACGCAGAGAAATGGCTCAGCAGGAAGGGCTCCTGCAGCCTGCTGTTTGCTCCTTTGAGTGAATCAATCGGCTTTTTAAAACCCAGGCTTTAATTGGTTATGCCCAGGGAGAGGGTTTTCGATACATCCCCCATCTGGCAGGACTAATTGTTCTTTGCGTTCAGTGAATAGATCGGTGCCCTGAGCCTGGGAAGGAGGCCTGGAAGGTGTTCGTGCCTATAAATGTCATTGCTCATGGCTGTTTGATGATAGTGAGTCTTTTCTGCCATCTGACTCTTGCAAATGATTTCTAGGATATATCTTATATCTGAACAGCTGCCACAGAGCTCCTGGGATGACAAAGAGCTGAGGTGCCCTTGTATGGCCAGAACATCTGATGGAGAGCCACCTGGCATCACAGGCCTGCCTTCTGACCTGCCTGGTGATAATGGCCCTATGAGAACCAAAGAAATAAGCAAGTTGGACAACCTCTCTCTGGACATTTGCTAGGCTCCCACATCTGGCCTCTGTGGGTGCTCCTCCCTGACTCAGTGGAAACTCTACCTATGCCCCCTTGTTACCCATGTCCCCAGTATCTGCCAGAGCCCACCTTTAGGGGTTGGGTATTGAGGTCCAGTGAACATGGCTCTGCCAGAATGATAATGCTATTTGGATGCCTTATCCAATTTTGGATACACCAGATAGACCCTCCGGCAGCCCATGTTGAGCTGTCTCAGTTTCCTTGAGAACTAGTACAATACAGCATGATTTGGAAAGACAATAAGTCAAAGGCCTTATAAAATTTCTTGGTGTGTCTGCTGCGAAGGACCTTCAGGGCAGGACTGCCCCTGACACACAAGTCAGAGATGATCCTACAGAGGGCTTGCATTCCCTCATAACTCTGGCCACATGATCAACCATTCTGGAAACAGCAGTACCTATGCATGCAGGTCCCTGGACTGTGCTGAAATGCTCCATCACTGAGCCCCCATCCATTGGTTAACTTGTTCAGATGTTTAATATTTATTATAGCAGGTATATGTTACATATGAGCATTAAAATACATATTACGCAGATATTTAATTACTAGCATCCCTATGAGGTGAGCCACATTGTGAGGCAATATTGAGTAGTGGCTGGGACCCCTGGGGCTAGAACCAGACCATGTGTATTCAAATCCCAGTTCTCACCATCAGCTCTGTGACCTTGGGCATGTTGCTTAATATAACCTTTCTATGCCTCAGTTTCCTATCTATATAATAGGATAATACCTATTTCATAGAGTTGTTATAAAGAATAAGTGTTAACACATATAATGCTTGTTGAACAGGGCCTGGCACTTAGTTAATTCCTATACGAGTGTTCGCTATTATTATTGTTATCATCATCTTACAAATGAAAAGTCTGAAGTACAGAGAAATTAAGAACATTCCTTAAGTCACCAGTGTTTACATGGAAGTTCCAGCATTAAAACCAGCCCTGGATGGAATTGGTTGCATCTTCTCTCTAGGGAGAGACCTGCCACGGGGATTCCATATTCATGTGGGTTCTGTGGACAGTGGGGGAGACAAGTGGACATTTGTCTCCTCATGAAATACTCTTGTCTACATCTCTTGCCCACGCTGTTTATCTAAGTGAGGTTCAGCTGAGATGAATAGGTTTCAACTTTCTGCATTTGAATCTCCTTCTAGCACCATATCCTTGAGACATGCCCCCACCCCAAGTCAAAGGATGGAACTTCAGGGGTCCTACATCTCTTGCTCACCTATTTGCTAACAGTGGCCTCTTTCCACCCATGTGCAAATACCTGCTCATTTCATTTTCATTAACAATGCTCCCACATTTATTTGGCTGGGGGATCAAATAAGATAAATACCATAAAACTCAGGGCACGGCATGTAGTGAGCGCTCACTAAATGTTAGCTACTGCTACTATTGTTATTATTGCCAAGTCTTCTTCTTTCCAAGTTTGGGGCATATTTCACTTTGCCTACATAACATAGCAGTGGGTTCTTATTTTTCCCCACTTCTAGGGCTAACCGATCCTCTCTTCTTTCCCTTCTTTATATCCCCAAGGAGAAGCACCAATGTGGGTCAAGGGTGAGGGCATGTTTGGGCTTTGGGGCCTGCAATGGAGCATCCTTTGTGAAGAGCAAAGAAGTTAAAGCTCTTACCTCTTAGGGTGGGCTGTCTTTGGTTTTTACTCTGCAGCTTCTTTCTGGGGAGCATGGCTTTTTAGGAATCCACTGATGGTCTGGACCCAGAGTTGTCTCCCACTTGGAAGTGACCCTCTCACCCTAAGAAGGATGCCAGTTGGGTCCAAGAGAAGGGATGCCTGGACTAAATGGACCAGACTAGCTCTACTGTGCAGCCCAGGGCCAGGAGTTCACATAGGATTTGGGACCAAATACAAAAATTTCCAAGATTTATTGAGGATTTATGATATGCCAGGTATTGCTTCCTGGATCTTCCACATAATCCTTTGTGGGAGGAAGAATGATGGTGCCCAGAGATATTCACATCCTAATCCTCAGAATCTGTAAATATGGTCTATTACATAGCATGAGGGAGTTCATTTTGCTAATCAATTCACCTTGAGATGGGGAGACTGTCCTGGATTACCTGGGTGGGCTCAATGTAAACACAGGTCTTTATAAGTGAAAGGGAGAGGCACAATAGAGTTTTTCAATGTAAGAAGTACTCAACTCACCCTTTCTGACTCTAAGGATGGAGGAAGAGAACCATGAGTCAAGGAATGGGCACAGCTTATAGAAGTTGGAAAAAAGCAAGAAAATGGATTATCTCTAGAGCCTCCAGGAGGATCATGGCTCTGCTGACACCTGTTTAGTCCAGTGAGACCCATTTCAGATTTTTGACCTCCAGTATAGTAAGACAATAAATTAGTGTCATTTGACATCACTAAATTTGTGGTAATTTGTTCCAGCAGCAATAAGAAACTAATGTACCCTATATAATGGTATAATTATTATCTCTCTTTTATAGATGAGGGTCCTGAAGTTTAGAAAGGGTAAACTTGTGCATTGTCACAGATAGTAAGGCTTAGGGCTAGGACCTATGGCCAGATATTTGATTTCAGAGCCTGGGCTTATCACCACCATATTATCCTGCTGCCTGACCCCAGATATCATATAGAGCATGATCATTTTTATCATCTTTGTGCACTTTTCTTTCAGGAATTTGCACTGGGGGCAGAGGGTGGCCATGGAAATTGGGATTCAACTCTTGGCTGCTTCTCTATCTCTTTGCTTTGGAAACATGAGCTTTATGTACAGTAGAAAGGAGGATGGAGGCCTGGCTTGCAGAGGTGCTGGATGGCCTGGCCCGCTCCAGTCCTGGCTGCACCTCTTGTATTTGTGTGATAGGGTTTCTGGACAAGGATCTGGGTTTGCTCTGCCCTTGTTAGCAATCAGTGTGTGGACACCTTCAAGCTTAGCCACTGATGTAACACTATGTGGGGGCTCACATGAGGGGAGAGGAAAAATAATTTTGATTTGTACCCAAAATGGTTGGAAGGATAAATGAGTATTTCCAATGGATCGAACCTTTACATACTTACTAGATATAATGTGTATTAGCATTTCCTGAAGCCAAATAATATTCATGTGATATAAAATTCTTTTTACAATAATGCTGTGAAGAGAATCTTTCACAGGAGAAAGGATGTGGAGTGGTTTTTAAATAGGGGGTAGAGAAGATAAAGAGCATTTATTGACTATTTACTGTGAATAAAAGCACAACAGAGAGTAGCTTAAGGGAGCAAAAGACAAGAAGGTTGAAGAAGAATGGAAAGAAGTGGGGATGTGTGAGCTGGGGTGGGCAGACAGGTATGAGGAGGGCCAAGGCAGCTGCCAGCAAGGTGCCCCCAGTAGCGCTGTCCCGTCCTTGTGGCCAGTAACTATGTGTGGCTGTTGAACACTTGATACGTAAAATCCAAATTGAGATGTGCTCTAAGCATGAAATATACAACCAAGTCAAAGATTTCAAATGGAAACAATAATTTAAAAATAACTCATTCATCATTTTTAGGTTGATTGTATAGTGAAATGATATTTTAGGTATGTTGGTTTAAATAAAATACTTATTAAAATTATCTTATAAAATAAAATAAAATAAAATAAAATAAAATTACTTATTACTTTTTTGCTATTTTTAATGGGGATACTAGAACATTTAAAATTACACATGTGGCTTGCATTCTATTTGTATCAGACGGGGCTGGCCTCATGGGTAGAAGTGGAACCTATGGCATAATATGCTAGGGAGGCAATTTGACCTTGTTGAAAGAAAGAGCTTCTAATCAATGACCATGACTAAAGAAGAGAGGCAGGAACACCCCATCATAAGTAGTAGGTAAGCAGAAATAGAGGCCAAAACCTTCTTCACAAGGCCTTTGTGGGGTTGCTGCTTTGAGATCAGGATAGACCAGGTCACACTCAGAGTTCTTCTGATGTGTAAAGAACTGTGAGCGTGTTAGTGGATTTTTGTGTAGTAATCACATTTTCCCTGTTTTGTTTGTACTTTTCTGGCTATTCTGTCTGGCCTTGAGAAAACACAGCAGTATTCTTTCAAAAGTCTAGAGTAGGCAAGGGTCTTTATTCAAGGATGTTTCCTCCATGCTCCTGAGGCCTTTGGGGCCCTGTCAATGTCAATGGCAGACCCTAAGTAACTTGGTTCAGAGCAGAAACTGTGTACCTCAGAAGGGCATCCTGCCCTAGGACAGCTGCCCAGTCACCAGTGAACTCCTGCAGGGGCACAGCTTGGGGAATTTTCATTCCCTGAAAGTCTGCCCTGCCCATCCCTCTGTGGCCCAGGGGATGTGCACATTTCTGGAGCAGCAGAAGGGCTGGTGTGAGATCCCCAGAGGCTGGGCTCTCTGTTGTCCCTGCCCAGCCCAAGAGGTCTGTGACATTTGCCAAGCCAGTGATCAGTATAAGCTACTCCTAGCAGCAAGGAGAAACTTGAAACCCTGTAGAGAAGAAATGTTTGTAGGCTTTGGAGCAGAACTCATCTGTGTGATACTCTAATTACACATTGGAGACTAGCACAACACTCCCCACATTCATTTGATTGCATGTCCTTGGAAGGAATACTCTTGCATTTCTCTACAAACAGGCTACTGCTCTGGCTTCCTGCCAGCTTAGACTGGCTTTGCCCTGGGTGTTCCTCTACCTCAGGCCATTAGGCCATCAGGGCTGCCTAGAATCATACCACCTGAGCCAGGCAGGATGGGGGACTCTACTGTCCTCTCAGAGCAAGGAGTGGCACACAAGAAAGCTCCTGTATTCTAGGACAGCAGAGGATATGCAAGCACTTCACATGTATTATGTTATCTGATCCTTCCAACCACCTAATGGGGTGTGTATGTATATGTGTGTGTGTGTCTGACACACACAGATTTGTCCCATTTCAGAGTCCCAAATATTGCCTACCTTAATCTATCATTTCAGAGACCTAGTGAAACCAAGGAGGTCAGAGCCCGTGGAATCTCCAGATAGAGGTAGTAAAGACAGAGTGGGAAGAAGGAGAAGAAGGTAGAGAAGAAAGTGATATGCTCATTCATCTATTCACTCATTTGTTCATTATGTTTTGGCCTTTGGTAGTCAGATACTGAAATTAGTAAAGACAAGATCCTGCCCTGGAGAAGCTCATGGAGTAACAGACAGTTGTGCCGAGCGGAACTGTGGGCAGTCTTCCGTGGTTCTTTAGGGTACAGACTAGAAAACACTGGGTTCTTCCACAGGGAGCCTATGCATAGAGGAGGAGGCATTTGACTTAGACTTTAGGAGGAATCAGGCATTCAGTACAGAGGGAACCACATGAGGAAAGGCCCAGAGGTTGGGGGTACATTGGCTTATTGGGGGGTGATGGCTGGTCATTCCCTGGGTAGGACTGTAGTGGTAGGATGAGGATGGATTAGGAGGGGCCTTGGCTGTTATAGCAGGTCTTGTGGTAGGGTGTGGCAGGACCATTCCTTCTTCCCTTCATTTACTTATTCAACTACCTTTACGTATTGGTATCCACCATTTTTTTGCAGATAGGGGGTCTTGGCTGGGTTAGGATGGGGCCATCAGCTTGAACAAAGGCATCTCAGGACTATTGTTTCCCACTCAGTTGGATTTGAGGAACCTGATATCAGAGCACAGTCCCTGGAACCAAAACCATGCTGAAATTCAGAGAAAAGGCAGGGACTCCTGTTGGCTGTCAGACATATCTCCATGGAGGGAGTGGAGATTTATTGAGTGTTAAATGTCAGTATCGATGTAATAAAGATGGTACACTGTAAGTAATAAGCACTTTCCAGGTGAGGAACCATTTTCAATAAGTTGTCAACCTGTCTGATACTATGAATTATTTTTTTAAAAAGAGAAGACGATGAAGAAACCCCACTTGGAGTTATTTAACTTTCAGATCAGTTCCTCAGCTCTGTCCCTTCTTGACAGGACCATCAGTGTCCTGTGGTACCCAAGGGCCTTGGCGTTTGCACACACTTCATCTCTTAAAAAAACATCCTGATAGTCTTCTTGTTTTCTTTCCGGTGATGAGGACAGATTTGATGGGGAATAGGTTTGTGACCTTCAGAGGGCCTTGTGACAGGCAGAGAATTTTCAGGAAATGAATAGAGGAGAAAAGGAAGGCAAGAAGGGCAGGGGGAGGTGCACGACACCTGGGATAGTCAAAGCATCAAATGTGGTCAGGTGTTAGCTGGGACTCACTCAACTCTCCCATCATTCCAGATAATTTCACAGCCCCTGGAAGTACAGTCCTCTGTGTAGATTCCTGCTCATTCCCGTGAGTTAAGACTGCCCCTGCATCCTGGGTTCCCAACTTTCCATGGGCTACCTATGAGATGTGCTCACTGTGCTCATAGTCAGTGTGTTTTACAAAGAGAATTCATAAGAGGCTCAGGTGCACAGTAGGCCTTCTCTAAACAGATTTAGTAGGACAGCGGCTTTAATTGGCTTCAGAAACCTAGAACACCTGGAAGCCTTAAAACATGTGCTGGCCATTGTACCTCACAGGGTTTCATCACCCACCTTTCATCCCAGGCTCACATCATCTTGTTGGCCTGGTACTTACTGTCCTCCCTTTTATTTTCCTTTTCAGGAGCAAACTCCCAGTTCTTAACCCTGGTCTCTGAAGTCCAGCTCCTTCTGGACTTCTGGACTGTAGGTGCTAATCTTTCACATTCCACCCAGCACTCCTCAGATTGGTTTTCTAAGACTTTCCTCTCTAGGAATTCTGCTGTTGGCCCTAACATAGTAAACAATTGTTAATGCTATGGTGTCTTATGACAGGCTCGCCTTGAGATTAGCATAACGGTCACATGTTACTGATGCCAAGGTCTTATTTTGAGTGGTGTTCCCAAGGGCCCTGCATAGCTGCTCAGTTTCTCCTCACCCCTCATGGTCCCAGCCCCTCTCCCCTTTGCCAGAGTTGCTAAGGGCCTGTCCTAATCCCTTGGATTCTTGTTCTTGTGAGTTGCATGACATTAAACATACTTTGTTTTGTGCCCATTCCATTATTTGAAGGCAGCAGAGAGATGCTGGGGTGCTTTATTAATATTTCACTTAGTTATTTTTGAAGTGAAGCAAATTGCTCAGAATTAGCCTGGATTCCCAGTGGTCAGCAGAAAGTCTGTTGCATTTTGCAGGAGCTCTGCAAAATGTCCTTAGAGATGGCAGGCTCAGATGGTCATCTTGACTCCAGCATTTAGCTGCTCTCTGACTTTGAACAATTTTTTTTAAAACACTCTGAGCTTCTGATTCCTTATTTGTGAAAAGCCAATAATAATAGTTAGCTCACTGAACTCTTGGGAAGATTAAGTGAGAAAATGTGTATAAAAAAACTTAAAGCTCCTACCAAAAAACCATTAGAACTGATAAATGAGTTCAATGAAAT